CTAAACCAAGATATAGAAGTACTTAATGCATTTAGGCGTCAAATAATCATAGAAATGCAAATATTAATGGGTGAAAAATGTAACAAATGTACTATTATCAATTGCCTTGTCCTCAAATTGAATGGAGTGCAAGTATAAAACAAATGTATTTTAATTCACTTGGACCATGACGTCTTAAATAAGTAATTCATTTTATTAAAAAAACTAGATGTTTATAAATGATTTTTTTCAATAAGTGGCCGTCATGTTTATATGCAGGATAGTCGATCGCCTAAAGCCTCGGCTCCACAAAAAAAAAAGTCCAAATACAATCAACCAAGCCAGTTTAACTGTTCACTTAGCAAATATATTAATATTTAATTAAAGTTTAAAAGTCTGTTTAGTTCAATCTTTATTTTGTACAAGTATTTAAAGCTTAGTTATGTATATATCTTAGTAAGCCCAATTAAAGTAGAAGAGTTAGTTATTTTTGTTTTGATATTCAAGGCAAGAACTATTTGATGATTTATTTTATATTTTATTAAAATACTTGAACTTGATATTGGTGATTTAAGAGATCAAGTTTATGATAATTGTTCTAACATGAAAGGGAAGCATACAGTTTTACAAAAAAAAAATTACTAGAAGTAAATCCAATGACACTTTACACACCATATGCTTGTCATAATCTTTATCTTGCACTTTGTGATATGACAAATTCTTGCATAATTGATTGAATCTTAAAGCAATGAAATTTTTTCACGATAATGTAAAACGTTTGACACTTATGCCACAATTACAAATACGGAAATCAAGTTCAAAGTGTTAAATGAATAAGATTTCAAGTACTACAAATAAAAGCCATTTTAGGAGACTTTGGTAGAACATGTGATGACATCAAGGCATTTAAAGACGTTAAAGTTCTTACGATACAGCACCACCTCTTGAGGAAGTCACCAAAATTTTCTGGTTATATTACTTCCTGTAGGATAGTTGTTTCAATTTTTTTTTGATACCAGATTTACACACTAAATACCGAATTTACAATTTATAATTTGATGCAAAATATCTTAAACACGGTATTTACAACAGTTACCGTATTTGCACATTAGAATAGATTAAATTATATAACAAGTAATTGCAGTAAACAATTAAAAGATAATTGCAGAACAATAATATGCAAAACGATCAACAATAAGTTATTAA